AGACTTTAAAATGACATTTTCTCTTACTCTGTCTAAAAACCTGAGAAAACAATGGCATATTTTCTAAGAGCAGGATTTCACCAATTTTTCTGTGTTGAAATCTGTTCTTTTCCTATGCCGAAATGAAATGTCAAGCATAAACCGTGGTTCTGCCTATCCTTTTCTTCAAAATGTAACATATCAATTCGGTTTCTAGATACAGTATTGTATGCATTGCACTTCATATGTTATCAAATAATCTCTGTCCCCAATCGTAATAGAAATATTTGAAAGTTAATATGTATGGTAATACAAGTTTATATATTGAATAGAAAAAAATCATTAAACTAAATATATTATATTTCATCTGGGCAGAATTTACAATTTCTATTCTCAAGAAAATACGATGTGCAGCTGTTTTTAACATGCTTTGTATGTTGAAATGTATACTGATATATATTCTTGTCTTGTTTTTGTCCTGCCCTAGGACAGCATTGGGGATAAATGATTTTATCTGAATGGACCATTTCCTATTGAAACACTTTAATAAACTTAGAAGAGACTTGCATATATACTGGTGCCTAGGTACTCAGATTTGCATAGGCCCAGCCACTCAGAGTTTGTAAATTAACTCATTTTTTTAAGTGGAAGAAAGATTATAATATGTCATCTGACTTTTGAAATAGTGGTGTGATTTTGTTTGTTTGTTTGGGGGATTTAATTGTTTGGGATTGAGCAGGTTGGGTGTCTTTGTGCTTGCTTTTTTTTTTACTGAGAGTTGCTCAAACACTGGCATAGGTTGCCTAGAGAGGTTGTGAAGTCTCTGCCCTTGGAAATACTTAAAAATCCCTCTAGACAAGGTCCTGGGCAACCTGCTCTAGGTGATCCTGCTTGAGCAGGAAGTCCTCCGGAGATCCCTTCTAACCTCAGGAATTCTGTGGCTTTTAGCTGGAGGCTTATTTGTATTTTTTTTTTTTAACTGGGTGTTTTTTCTAGCACAGAGAGAAAAATAAATCAAGCAGGTAGAGGTCTAAAAATTGAAAAATGGCAGAAAGAAATACAAGTGAACAATGTGCATCCTGCTAAGCTGATGGTTGATGAGCAGAGGAGCAGTAAGAGCTTGGAAGGGCAAAAGCACACACTGACAAAGCTGGTCTTTCCAGCATGGTGAAAAGGTTTGAAAGCTATTTATAATAAAGAAAGTATGAAGCAATAATATTTTTGGTTAGTTTTTATTTAGCGTTCTCTGTGTTTTAAGATTTTTCAAGGACATTTCTTTCAACAACATCTAGTTTTCTCAGTTTTACCAAAGAGTGAGTCTTGTTTTTCTTAAAAGCTGGAAATGCTACTTACTGTACATGGATTACTGATATTTCCAAAGCTGCTGACAGTCTCTGACATGCACAGATCCGTTGAGTGAGTCATAAAGCCCAGTCAGCTGTATCTTTTGCTTGTTCATAGGTGAGATTTAATATGTACTCACTCTGTAGATTTTGAAAGCTGGCCAAGAGCTTTGACAAAAAGCAACCTGAATGTTGCTGTTAAAAAACTAAAAATGAAGCAACACTGAAAAATACTTTATAATCTAAAATTTTTTGCTGCAAGGAGGTGAAATTATGTTGTCAGGAAAGCCCTTTCACTAGTATATGGTGAGATTTGTAATGGATAGAAGATTGTCTTTTGGAATAGCATTGCCATGGCATGACAAAGCCTTTAATTTTATGTTCTTTAGAATGAGTAGAAGACTTATAACTCTCCCTTAAGAAGGGAATTGGGAGAAGACTTATAACCCTCCCTTAAGAAATCTATGGGTCACCCTAGATGGAGGTATATCACACAACCTGAAGCCTCTTCTTCTCCTTTTTATGTGTGTAACTGTGCTATTAGGGATTTAGTTGGAAACATAAAGATGGGTGATTTTAAATATGGGTGTTTTCTTTCATGGTGGAATAGGAACTTGGGTAATTCAGTTACATATATTTCCCAGGGGTATGAATTTCTTCTCCTATTAGTACATTTTGTTTCTTTAGAGCAGCTGGATGGAACTGTGTATTACTTGCAAATGGAGAGGAACTTCAACTGTCTCTGTATAAGCTTGCTAATGTTAGCAAGTCTTTTTGAAAGGCTACAGTTCAGACTATCTCAGTTTTGAAACCTATTAAATTATTTTCTGTGCTTTAATCATTCACTGTATGCCTCTTACTTTTGTTTGAGCTCCAGATTTACTTGGAAGCAGTTTACACTTTGGAAAAATTATCAAGGATTAAAAAATAAATGCTAGGAACTTCATTCTACAGTTGGCAGAGCTTTGTTTTTTTGAACTATTAAATTATGATAGGCCTTATTCTTATTTCAAGAAGTAACCCATGTTTTTAAGATTTGAAAATCTACTGCTTTTTTTAAAATATCCCTAAGTAAGTAAACTTCATAACACTAGTTTATCTCAGTGGGAATTAGGCAATAGAGAAAATTTTAGATATTCTGGTATTTTAGGTATTATGCCTCTGGTACACCAGTGCATTGAAAGTCTTTGTTGTTCTTTGAAAATGCCTTTTAATAACTGTCTGGATTTCACCTACTCATACCAATAGTTTCTGGATGTCAAATACTTTTTCAGAATAAAAATGCAGGAGATGGCCAAAGGTTCAAGGTCAAGTGCAAAGTAGGACAGGAGAGGGAGGACATCATTTTCAAGTGCCTCTTGGTAAAATAACCAGAGAAGACAGTAAGCCATTCATAAGGATTAAGGCTAATGGGTGAAAGTAAATTGTTTTAATTAGGTTTCTGAGTTTTAATCCAAAACAAAACTTGCAAGAGGCATATTGTAGATATCAGCATTTGATCCTACCCTATTAAATACATTTTCTGCATCCCAAGAAAAAGCAGCAATGGGATCGTCATCATCTCTCACCTCTCATAATATCTGTAGCACTCTTCTTAAATTATCAGCTGCCTCCCTGCCTGGCATGAAACAGCCTTGATCTTGATTTATAATGGTGGTAATGCTTTTGTTTAGTCTCGTGGTTAGCAATTTAGTAAATATTTTTGAGACCACATTTAACTAAGATACAGAATGATAGTCCTTACATTTACTGAGACTTTATCAGGTTCCAGAGTGCATAGATTCTACTTCATTTTTCATTGATAATGGTATCACACCTTTACCTGGTTTTGTGCAAGGCATTTTGGAGGCACCATTTCAGGTTGATATAGGGTTTCTGATACATATCCCCTGCTATTAGCCACCCTGTACAGTCCAATTGCCAGACTGCAAGTTCCTTACTGTGCCAGTTGTTTAATTCAATATATACAAGTACGGTTGTATATTCCTTTCAATTTGGCAATCATATGGCAGCAGATAGCAATGCCCCAATGGAGCTTAGAGAGAGGCATAAAATTTGGAAGAGTAGGCAAGAGAAACATGTCGGTTTTTTAGCACTTTCTACAGTGGTCCTAAATATGGTATAGGCAAAGAACTTATCTCTCTTCTGGTATTGCCAAGGAATGCTTCATGAGTCTAAAAGGATGTGGATGATCTGGACAGGGACATAAATTTAGCACTGTTCCATACCTGGGGTTGTCCAACAACTAAAAAACAACAGAAGTTTTCCTAGAGTGTGCAGTCTTTGAGACTCCAGGAAAAAAACCAAGGATTTATTTATCTGCTTATCTTCCCTTCCTGTATATCATTATTCAATGACACATGGATTAGTTTTGTTTGCTCTCAGTTCTGCCACATTTAGACCAACTCCAAATGTGCATGTCCTCAAGTATGATAAAAATTCAGTTGAAGAAGCATAAAGTGAGTAGTGAAACTTCTGAATATTTTCAATAACAATTTTTAATGGAAGTACTACTGCTTCTTCCAGGGCAAGTGGATGCAAAAAGTGGTGGTCAGACTTGCTGTCTGAACCCTATATTAACGAATTACAGTTTTTAACTGTTGGATGTCTGGTTCTAAAAAAGTCTGTAACAGCATTTTACAGCTTAAGGCCTTTTAACAGAACTCAGTCACTTGTAATGCATCTCACTGATGTATATCTGCTTGGTGGGACATGCAGGATCTAAGTGTTCATTTACTGAACAAGAGAAATAGGAAGTATTTTTTTAAGCTTGGAGAGACATTAATGAAAATTGTGGATGTAGTCCTTTTATCTTTATTGTAATTATAATTTGAAATTAGGATTCCCAAAAATAGGGTGATTTAAAGCTTAGCAAACACATTCCTTCTGAAAGTACCCTTCAGGACTTATTCCTAGGGATGATCATGCAGTTAGTAGTTCTTGAAAGAGTTAAACCCTTTACCTCTGTTCAGAAGACAAAGAGAAAACATTTGCTTTTAGAGTAATTCCTTATCTTTCTGCAGTATTCAAGGAAACTGGGTGAGAGAACATATTATAATTTTGGATAAAAAGGAGCTAAAGGGGAGCTTCCATCATCTTCTTGCTTTCCCTGCCAGCCTGTACAGCAGCTTCAACCTTCTTTTCCCTGGCAGGAAGGAGAAAAAAAGCAAAAAAACTGTGGATTCCTCAGCATAACTTCCTCTGTTCCTTGAAGTTTAGCCACTGGTCTAATCTCTGAAAGTTTTTTCTGGCTTGTATTGACTTGCTGCTCTGACAATGAGCACTTTTTTAACCTGTCAGGAGCTGAATTGCCTGGCCTGCCATCGGGTTGACAGTGTGCTGCTGTTTCTTAGACTACTCTGTTTCTGAGATGCAAGGCTGACACAAATCTGTACAAGGGCTGATTTTGTGAGTGCCCCAATGGAATCCCCTTCAACCGCTGTCTAGTTAGTAAGGTTCAGTGAATACTCAAGGGGAAACTCCTTGGCAATGGATTTTGCTTTCTACAGGAATTCTGTGTTGGAATTTTTAGTATAGGATGCCTCTGTTGGACTGTTTGCACTTCAAAAAAAAAAATCACTCAGCTTGCAATTAAGGTTTTGTTTATGCTTCTACAGTGTTTAGAGTTGTTCCTTATCTGTTGCCTATGCTCTTTATCATTCATAGGTCTGAGGGAGATAGAAAAGACCTGCTGTTTAAATGAACATATCTCACATCGAGGAGAACAGGCTGGAGGGCTGGATGAGCATCTCTGATAGCTGATCTTAGGGTCTAATTAGACTTCTTCAGGGGGCAGTGATGAAGAGGTGAGAACTCCTCAGCTGGCTCAGTGGAGACTTGTAAGGGCTCTGTATACATAACCTCAGCATTATTAATGGTACATGAGTATGTCTAGTAGCCTTCCTGCTCAAACTGCGAGTACTGTGGGCAGGCGTGAAGGGAGGGAGGCAAGCAAGCCAGGAGCAGAGACAAAGGTAGACCCAGTTCTTAAGAACAAGTAACACAATAAAGAGTGGCTTTTCCTCATTATCCTGTTTTTCCACCATAAATGTGCCCCCTATTGCAGTATTTTTAACCAGAAATGGATGGATGGATGCATATATATATATATATGTGTATATATATATATATATATACATATACGCACATGCATGTGTGTGTAAATACAGGCTTCGTGCCTGTTGAAAGTCTAAAACTTTCAGGACTGAAACTATTGATGTGGTTTCAGAGGCTGAATGTCACCATCCACATATACCTGCCACACCATAACACTCATAATTCACTGCATCATTTGACAGCTGACGTCACCCCAGACCAAGACTGCCCCAAGCAGTGTCACACACGGGCTGCCTCTGCACCAGGCACTGAGCGGTGTGTGCAAAGTGACCTGCATGATAATTCTGTGCAGTACTTGCTCTGCAATAAGCTTGTGGGCTCCAATTAGCATCTGGACCTCATTGTGCTGAGCATTTTCCAAACACGTAGGGAAATATCTGTGCTCTGAAAATTTTATTTAACAGTATTTGGATTTTCTTCTCATGTTTATATGTATTTATTTTGGGTTTGCAGGTTTTTTTTACCCCCTATTTTGTCTGTCAGTAAGAATACTTTGTCATGTCCATTGAAGGACTGAAAAGACCACTTTTACAAAAGGTGGGGTTGTTTTGATATTTGCCTCACATTTATTGTTTGATTTCCTATTTCCTTGCTAACTAGTGGTTTCTTTAAATGCCATACTGTAAAGGAAAGTTGGACTTATAATGCTGTTTCAACTTTTATCCTGAACAGCTTACATTTCCCAATACTTGGTAACTTGCAGGATTGGGCCCATTCTGTAGAATTTACACAAAAAGCTCTATCAGATTTGCTGGGCACAATTGTGAAAACTGTTCAGTATATCCTGTTTTCTAAATGTCAGCTTTTTTCTTTTTTTTTTTTTCTTTCATAGTGGGTGGGCTGACTAAACAGAGACTTTTTTACATGGTACTTTGCTGTTTTCTAAACAGAGCAGCTATGTATGCTATCTAGTTTATATACAGCTTTTTTTTTTTTTTTTGAGCAGGGTACCCTTATAAATATGTTGGATTTAAAAGAAGCTAGTCCTACAGAAAGTGCTCTGTTTGTAGTATCTAAAACTTCTCTTGATTTTTTTTTTCACATTTTTTTCATTGCTTTGCTGTGTGCCCCTTTCTGTGTTTTGAAATAATTATGCATAGGTCCTACAATACAGTAAGGCCAATGTTTGTGAGAGTTTTTGTTCTGACATATAGCATGGAATGGAGCTAATCAAAACATAAGTGTGTACTTTGCACCACTCACTGTAGCTTTTAAGATACATATTAAACGTTATTTTGGGCCTTACAACAGCATATGGCTTTAAAACATTACAAAAAGACCATTCCAAATTAGAAGAATCAGAACAAAGAGCTATTCTAAAATAAATAATTAGTATTCTTAAAATATATCAGCATGTAAATACTCCTCGGATAATTCTGCCTCTATGTTGTTTCTTTTTGGCTTGCTGGAGAGTCAAAGGAAAGCACACTTGCTGCAATTAATGCCTCTAAATGTACCTCATACAAAATGATTATCCTAAATAAGCTGCATAGTTACTGCCTGAATAATCCTGCAGGCAGCATATCAGATCAGGTTCAAGGTACTGCGTGGCAGAATTCATAGTGCAATTAAAGGCCCTTCTGAGCAAAACTGATTCCCAGCCAGGGCAGCCCCCATAAGCACTAGGAAAGTCACCTGAAAGTTGCCAGTGGGGAGGTTGCCCAATCTTTTTTTACTCTTAATCTGAAAATGGCTTTCTTTGGATCTGTTGGGAGCAGGTCTGTGTGGCCAAGAACTGATAAAGTGCATGCTGAGCTCTCTTCCTACAACTCTGCCAATGTAGCTTTATCTTTATTTCCATGTTGCCCTTTTTCTTCTGTTTTGATTTTTTTCCCCCTTGATTATTTTTTGCCTTTTTTAGTACTCTGTCCATTCCTGGCATAAGAGGGAACAACTCTTACAATCAATAACAACTAGACTAAGATTGATCTCCTTTTTCTAGACTTCAGCCCTGCCCTTATCACATAAGGGTTCTTGACTCTGATACTTGATTTGATAATGCCTATTGAGTGACATATTAGAGTTGAAGAGAGTGATAACCAAGCGCAGTTAAAAACTTCATGTTAGGTTTACTTTTGAAATGATTAGTTACTACTGCATCAACTTTCTATTTTGTTGCATAGTGCATTGTTGTTTTTGTGTTTTACAGAGTGTTTTACACGGATGTGTACTACTCTTAGATTAAACCTGGTCTGGATCCTATGACGAGGATCAAGTGTTCTGGCCTTGATCCCAAGTAACAGTTAACATTAGGAACATAGTTTCTGTGAGTTAATGATATGAGTCTCATGTTAAATATTCTGTTTGTTTGATGGGAAAGTGTTTATCCAGAAACATGGATGGGAGAGAAATTTTTTAATTCTATATGATCCCGTTTAATGAGTCATTTTTGTTGTGGAGGTCATCTTTGATGCTTTATTTGGTCATTTGCTCAACCACAGAAGTATTTCTGGGGAGCCATTGAATTTTAAACTGAAAGGAGCAAAAAGCAGCCTGTTACGTTTGCTTCCCAGGTTCCATTGCCCACAAAACAGCATCACTCAGTGGGGAAGTAGGAGGTTCTAGCATTCCTTAGGACGTGTGGGAAATGGCGTGTGTGTTTATATGGCCGTGGTTTCACCTTACACACGGACCACCAGGTTTTAATGACACACTTGGCCACAGGAGGTTCAAGCCACTGACCACTATGTTTATTCCAATGAGCCAACCCGTTGGCATTGGGAAATCTTTTACCCCAGTTTACACCAGAACGTAAAAGTCAGACAACAGATTTCTTGTCTATAGTCACATTTTCCAATATTGGCCCTGGAAATTCCTAGGGAAGGCTTTTTTTTTTTTTTTCCCCATGTGCTACCTGTTAAAGGGAGATCTCATGGAGGCTATTTTGCCAGAAGGATGAAGCACAGAGTCGCTATGGAAAAAGGAATTTAGGCAACATATCTTTAAAGAAACTTCTAGAGTATGAGGTGAAAACAGTCTAGCTCCTCATGATAGCCAGTTTCTAATGAATGCTTTGTTCCACATCAGATTCTTGCTTTTCAAAGTAAATAAAGCTGGATGCTGATATTTTCTTCAGAAACCTCATGACTATTAAGACTGTTTGGAGGGGGAGGGAGTGGGAAGAAAAATTATAATGGAACTGAGCTATTAATTTTAAAATATTCTCCACTAAATTTTTTCAAATCTATTCTTAAAATTACTAGGGAGAGAGAGAGAAGTCACATGTTCCAGCAATTTCAGGCAGATTCTCCTTTCTACAAAGAGAATATTGGTCTTCTCTAGTACTGATGAATAATAAAAGGCTGTTACCTACAGCAGTATTGATGACCGACAAACTCTGATGTAAAGGACAGAGTTTAGATGAAGGTAAAATATGTAGATCTAGTAATAAACTGATATATTATTAGAGCATTGTAGAAAATGATCTTACAGAACTGGTTTAAGTCTGGATATGTCTTGTACTACAACTATAAAGCTTAATCTGTTCTTGATTAAGTCCACTAACTGAAATATCTAGTTGGAGGCATATGTATATTTGTTCATGAAGTCAACCCTGAAAACTTGTTGTGGGATTGGTGAAAGCCTGGTTGTCTTTGGTTTGGAGTTTTTAACCATGCTTACCACAAGCTACCTAAAATATAAAAAGCCTCCTTTTTACTCTGGCCTTTTCTGATGTTAAAAAATATTGGCTGTTTGGCAGTTTGAGCTGATGGAAGTGCCCTCCTACTTTCTTATATGGGCTACACTTGAGAAGTAATGGCAAGTTTCATTTAAATGCTTCACAAGCTGTTGTTTATAACTATTTGTTTTAAAAGGTTTGAGAGATTTTGCTTGCCAGGGTTTCGTTGTTTTAGATGTTTCCACAGCAAGGAAGCTTTAGTTTTTTTAGTGTGCTATCAAATTTGCTTCTCTTCCCTATCATTCTTCCTCACCTCCTGTTTATATTGTTTTGACCACAAAGAATACATTCTGCCTTCGTACTGCATGTATTTATTTTCTCATTCTCAGTATATCACCAATAATGATTGAAATATAGGCTGCTTACCATGAATGCACACACAAACACAGAAGCATTAACTGAAGTTCTCCTATTGACAAGAAACTTTTTTTTTACCATTAGCACCTCCTTCCTATCCACAATTCTTCAGTGCAAGAAAAATGAGACAGCTTAGGAGGTCTGCAACTGCATTTTGTAGCCCAAATTAATTAGTTACTACATGAGTTATTAGGCAATCTCCAGTCCCACTAGTTGCATTTAGTAATGAGACATTCCTTGAGAAGTGCAGTGAGGATTAATTACCATTTGGTATATTGAACTTGTAAAGTATAAAGGCCCTAATTCAACACTATTTAAGCATGTGATCAACTCCGAGCACATCTGCTTTATTTCCATAGGAATCAATGGAATTTAACCATGTGCCTAAAGTTAAACCTGTACTAAATCACTTTTCTGAGTACAAACAAACTGCTGATTTAGAGCTTATAAAAGCTATCTTTTTTCCCCTGAATTCTATAGAGGCAATTCCTAATCAGACTGAAGATAAGAAACTCTCTCTTTTCTTCTAGAAGTAATGTTCTATTTTATTTTTAAAATAGCTTTCTTTTATTTCCATCAATACATTAGCTTTAATGTCTATGTTTTCTTATAGGAAATGTCTTCCCTATTTTTAAAAAAAATTAATAAATACCTTTAAAAAAAGAGTGTCATAAAACTTGTCCAAAACCATCACAGATTGTCATTGGTGTGCAAGGAGGTGTTTCAGATTATACTATGAAAAATACATGAGAGAGAGATGATCGGAAAAGTGCCTTCTTGTAACTAATACTCAAAGTGATGGATCTTTAAATAAAATAGTCT